AATCTCCGACGGACCGGTCTAGTTTTTCAGCTAGCCAGCATGTAACTTTGTGATAGATCTAAGGAGAACATCGTGTTTGGTAAACCATACATATGAGGTAGACGTGAGCCACGTCGTCTTAGATCATTGTAAGTAGAATTAGCAAACATTTTCCTTTTTAGAAGTTCTCTAAGTATGCCTGTGTTTCGTTTCTCTGTTGAATCAGTTGAATCTTTCTTGGATTTATCTATTTGATCGTCTAGAATAGATTTTATCTTAGTGACACAATCAGCTGTATTCGTTAAGACGACAACTGAACATTTGTCCGGTGGTAAAATCATCACCTCATTAATTTGTCAAAAGCACTGGCCTCAGTCCTTAGTCGTGTAATGAGTAATTTCATTGAATTAGTGTGCGATTTGGTGATGCGTCTGATGTTTTTAGCGATGGTGGAAGCTTAAATGAACACAAAGATTTTACAAACTGACATGGGAATCAGTCTGACGTGAGACATTCTCCATAAAACTTATTATATATTCACTAGCAAACGAGATAAATATGAATTTGGCCAATTTTTCAATGATCGCTCAAGGTTATAGAATAGTTTGTTATCTAGTCGCTGTTATTTTTGAAGATTTAATCGACTTCAAATTTCAAAACATTTTTGAATAATAAGCAAAAAATGCTCAATAATCGCATGATGAGGAATCAGAAAAAATTTTTTAAAACTAGATTTAACAATAAAAGAATACTCTGAGCGTATGATTTATGGACGAATGATTCATATGTACCATATCAGGTCTTGGATTTTGATATATTTGGCTAAATAGCATTTTGGCATTTTAGCTTATATTAGTTCGTGATAGAAACCTTAAATCTGGTTCCTAATTCTAACCATCAATTGTAAGTCATAATCCTAATTTCTCCCACTGCTTTATAACCCTCATTTACTCTTAGTTTGTAGGTGGACATTCTTAGGGTCACTTAACTATCATTGATTATCATCTCACCAAAAATACACTAGTGTTCATTCTATCAATTTATATATTTGAAAATTATGCCTCATTATACAACCTGATTAATGTTAAGACTGTTATTTATGTGGGTTTACATTATATTGAATATAGTCAAGTGGTGATTTAGCTAAATTGAGACTTATTTTCATAGTTTACATTACTGACCGATTTGAGCTGAACAACCATTGAAAATCAGAAAGCATTAGATAATTGTTTCATCCTAGTATGGGTTTACTCAACAATGAGCAACGAGTGCATTATAATGCGTTCAGAGATCTCAAGTATCATAAGAAGGTTATGCCATAACCTAAATCTTATAAAAATAAGATAAAAATGATTTGCGGATCGGAAATATTCAAGACAATTGTCCAATTAACAGATGCCAAGAAGGAATGAAAAACTTTCAAGTGATAATGATAATAATTCCGAAGAACGAATTAATAATTAATTACTGATTCGAATGTTACATATATATAATGATTTGTATGGACAGGTCAGTTTTGAACTGAAGAGTTAAAACGACTTCAGCGCTCAAATATTTTTGTTATCCTCCTTCGAGCTAACTCATTTGAAATGGTAGATTATTCGTAATGATATTTACAGTGAGATAATGTGATCAAAAGTTATGAGGTTGTTGGTTATTTTGAAGTCACTTTTTGAAAGATAAATCAAGTAATAGTCACTTTGCTCGGCCGATATAATCTAATCGAAAAAGGTAGTAAACTTATGAATACATGTTGATTTAGCTCAAAACGTAAGTTCATCCTTAACTCATCCATAAATGATAGGCTTGGCGAAAAAAAACAATACGAAACTTTGGAAATTAGAAAGACTTCCTCTGAAGTTTTGAGATTCTGTTTTTTAGGATGTTCTCAACACTTTATCCTTTAAATTCGGGGAGCATTTCCCAGGTCGTAGTACCGGTTTTAAGTAAATGTCATTAAATATAACAAGGTGGACACATTTTGCAAGTGCTTGGCGGAGTTTAAATACTTCATTTTTGACTATGTCGTCACTACATATTTATTTAATCAGCGAAGATGGAAATTGAACCAAGTTTTTCTTCCTGATCAGTGGCACCCGGCTAAGAAAATCCATACATTGATCATTCTAAGTTGATTTTGCATGTGTAGATATTTCTAGGTAGAGATTTATTGTAAAAACTAACACATCAGTTCTTACATTATCAGCACTAAAATTGGGATGTATAAACAATTTTATACGAATCTAGATAAGATACCATTAGCAGTTTTGTATTGCAGTTTATACATTTAAACAAATGAATCCAAGCACAGAATAGATTATATAATCTAAAATAAATAATTTCAGGAAAATGTTAAGTCAAACAGATACATTGTGTTTTATCACCATAATAAACACTAAAAGCTGCAACTAACAACCTATTCGTCCTTGTTTAAGATTCAGTTATATTGTATTCACTCTTACACTTGAATATCAATCTTATGTGATATCTCAATGGTAGACAACGGCTGAACATTAGTACATTGTATACAGTCTTTATTGATCTATCAAGTGATACTAATTAATAATGAATCCTACTGGGAATTTGAACACAAAGACTTGGTAAATTGCTTATGACGGTATTACAGAGAACAGAAAAAGTTCATTGCTTGATGTAAATCCGAAGAATAAGGAATTATTTTAGGCCGTTTTATACTGAGGGTTATGTGAAGATGAAATCAAATCAATATCATTCTTCCGATCAATACTAATTGATACAAAGTAACTAGTTTCAACTTTATTCTTATGGGATAATAACTTATATTGATTAGTTCACTACATTTATACCTGCATATTTCATAAATTTCTATCATGGATTATAATTGCTCACATTATTACAAATTTCAAAACAGTATTTTATTTTTTATGACACTACAACAGCTATTATCTGGTATCTATTATCAAAATTATACTCAGCATTTAAGAGAATGGTTTTTCTCTGGGACTCATCTATCGTTCCTACCTATCAATTACAATTAGCTTAATGAGTCTTATTTATGATGCTTCATATATCAATTAGCAATCAAATTGGCTGAAACTATCTTATGTCACCAAATATCAAATCTCTCTATCCTTATTGGCTAGTTAACCTTTTTATAAGATTGCGTATTCACTTTTATAAGCAGTCACTTCTACTTCATGTTCCTCCTATTGATTAAACTAAACCTGCTCATCAATTGGATGAAGGGGGTGTCATATTAATACGAGAATTGAGAGTAAAAGTGATTATTAATAATTTTCTGTTTGTGTGTGTGTCGAAAATGACGTAGCTAAGACAACAATTAAATGTCAGTGTACCAAACCCATCATATATGAAAATGGGCCAATAACTCGCATTGAAATTTGATTGGTTAAAGACGACAGCTAATGGACATTTACTAAATAAGAGAGGTATAAAAACAAATGAATTAAACCTCCCAAATTATTCACATCACATTCTTCACTAACTATTCTTTATACACGAGAATCTGTCAACTAGTTTTCGTTTACTCTTGTCTATAGATTAACGGTAAGTAATCATGTATTTCTTTGATGTTAATTTTCGACAACATTCAATTTTTTATTTATTATAAACCTATAAGATTTCTATAGTTATCGTAACCATGGTCAGGTGTATAAGCCTTACTATGGAGAAGAGATATTTAATTCATGTGTCAATTGAAACTGTTGTTAATACATTAGTAGACCACATTGCTTAGTCACTAGTGGATTATAAATTTCTACCATGGTTAAAAATTTCATTTTTATGTACAATGTATTGAACTTCAGTAAAATTAATGTAGTCTGATGCACATATATACCTGGTCCTACGTTGTAGCTGACTGAACGAGTCTGATGTAGATACTTATTATGCAAACAAGATCATGCTGCTTCACTGTCGTGTATATTATTCAGTACGTAGTATAGGTCCTGGTATTTAACACAGTCATTTCCTCTTTGAAGCTAAGTAATTGTATTTAGATACCTAAGTTGTTTTAAAATTAATCGTAATCAAAACTTGTAAACTGATAAAATATGAAGTTTGTAATAAGAGTTAGCTGTTACGTGAAATATGCCAATGACATATGCTTATTGTTTCTAATTCGAAAAAGTTGTGATTTATTGGCGAAAATAGGAATATTTACTTAAAATCCACTGATAAAAATGATTCTAAAATGCCATATTCCCTGTTACCGTGTAATCCATGTTACCTTTATTTCATTGAACATAGAAAAAAGTTCAAACGTTTTAATCAGTGATATTATTTGAAAGTTGCATTGAGAAGGATATCATTATTAATAAGAAAATGTTGACTAGTAGTTCTCTAAATTACTGATTATCAGTCCTAATGCTTCATTCATTTTTAAAAGAATAGTTTGATCATGAAATATGAAAATCTGTGATTAGTTCATGTTAAGATATTTAGATGAATTAGACCATACTTAAGAGCTGTAACATCATTATGTGTCTCATGGAGGTAATTAATTTTGAATTTAGAATTCAGTTGATATAATTATTTAAAGTACCCACTATTAATTGCATGGCTAATAAATAGACTGATATATGTTTATCTTCCTAGAAGCAACTTTCTTCAATCTAAAATACTTTTCAGCATTTCCCTTCTTGGTTTAGAAATTCACAATTGTAGACCAAATATAACACTTGATATTGAACTCATTTCTCAACAAAAACGACAATAAGGGATTATGTATTACTCTTCAGTCAATTTGTAAGGAATCTTTATGATTAAAAGTTTTGAGAATGATCTCCTGAGATGTCCTCTTTGTTTTTTATAGCTCATCAACTTATAAGCTTGATAGGAAAAATCATATGATGCAATTAATTGTTTTAAGATAGAAATATCAAATCTCTTTTCAAGCAGTATCGCTCAATAGTATTTAAGGAGACTATTGTTTTCACCAAGTCAACGTTAAAAATATAGATAACTTAATATGATGTCTGATTTTATTCTTATAATCTCTTATTTTCATTACAGAATTAAACATGATTTCCCAACCAGTCCTATCATCATCATCATCATCATCATCATCATCTGTTCATGGTCTTTCTACATCAGACAATTTCACAACACCTATAGCATCACAATCAACTTTATTAAATACCCTTGGTTTACACAATCTCAATTATGAATATTTACCGTATATTCTCAACAACTTTCTCAATCCAAACAATCATCATCAAAATGATTGTAACAATACGCCTTTACATCATCAATATCATCAATTAATACCAAACAATTCTGATATTTTAAATTTACATGCTCTTCAAATACCAATTTACGAAATGATAGTTGCTAATCGCAATAATAAATTTAATGATTCTATAATAAATAACAATCCTATGGTAGATATAACATCAATACCTAAGAATTCTGAAAATAATTCATCATTTACCAATTTCTCATTAACATCATCATTAACCAGAGCGATTAGTTCAAATACAAATTCAATTGGTTCACAAATTCTACCTATTTGTACACCATTACTTCAACTGGCTATACGTCATGCATTAGCTGAATGTTTTCCAAATAATGTACAATTACATATTAAAGGTAGATTAGAAATATCAATGAATACTGTAGATAATAATAATGATGAAAATCCGAATCATGTTAATACTACTGCTACTAATACTAATGGTAGTAACAATAGCACAACCACTCTTTATTTCAACGATAGTTATGAATTACCGACAAAATCATCCAATTTTTCAAATGATCACAAACAAGAAGATAATAATAACAGCAATAATTCAATATACCAGAAATTACTTAACCAAAACTCTACAACATCCCGTCGTAAACCATTAAATCCTAGTAAATGTTATCCATCCGATATACTTTACAATAATCATTTTAACAATGAGCAGTGTGAAAACGACACCCATATTAACAATGATAATAATGGTAACAATAATAATAATTTCAATTTATTACATATAAATCAATCAACGAGTCCATTATTATCAACATCAAGTCCAACAAGTCCGTCATCTGATTCTGGTGTTTTAGATTTGTCACATGGCGGTTCTCTAGCCGATTCAGCACCAATTACACCTTTAAAAGAATTTCATGTCTCACATTCACTTGGCATTAGTAATGATAAGCTAAATTATAGTAATAATAATAATAATAACATTATAATTGACGATAATCATCATTATCAATATTTTAATATACATGATCAATATGATTTACATTGTTTTAATCGTGAGCAAGATATTTTAGAATCATATAAAAAACAATTAGCTGCATTTAATCAAATTCAAGCTGTATGGAAGATGTCAACATCATCAAATAGTGAAACATTATCAAATTCTTCATTAAAATTTGATTCAAATGATCATAAAACAATATACAGTAATAATTTTGATGTCAAACAAAAGCCTAATTCTGAACCGAATACACCTGTAAAGATAGGACGTCGTACACGTGCAAATGTTGGTCAAACTGGACGTTTAACTTCAATTAGACGTCAAAGTACCAATCGTCGTTTTCCCTGTAATCAATGTAAAGAAGAATTTCCGTCATTGCATACTTTAGAGCAGCATACATTATCACAACATGGCACTTATAGATGTCATATATGTCAAGCTCAATTTACACAACGATCAAATTTACAACGTCATGCATTAAAACATGTCGGTTTTAAACCATTTGAATGTCGTGTTTGTTCTAAAGCATATTATCGTAAAGATCATTTAATGCGTCATATGGAAATGGGACATCCAGGATTTACACCAAGAGACAATATCACTGTACATTTAACATCATCCGAAAGTTTAGATTATTTAACTCGATCAAATAGTTTAGCTGAAATTCAATCAATTCCTGAAAATTATGAACAACAACAACCTATGTTCACTGACGAAACTTTAATTGAAAATGAGTATTACAACGAGAATGAGAATGAGAATTTAGATGATATAAAATTGTCTACTTCACCAATCAATAAATTACACAATACTGATCCAATATATTCTCCTATAAAAGATCAAATCAGTTTATCTTTACCAGTAGAACAAATAAATGATTCAACATAAACTATACAATAATTATAATAAATTAAACTATATTTATAACATTACAATTTCAACATCCTTTTGTTACCAGGTCGAATTTCTTCCAAATAATACACCATTCCGAAAATAATTAAGAATAAACAATTCCGGTGAATTCATCTTCAGTTCTTTAATTGTATATAAATTCATGTCATCATGTAAAAAAAATTTTTTTTTTGCTATTCCAATCACTATCCTTAATTTTTTTTAACTTTTCCATAATAATTATTTTTCCATCTTTGTTTGTATTTAATAAATAGTAAGGCAATATCTATTTTCTACTTTTGTATTGATTAATTTATTTGTAACTATTTTTTGTTCCCTCCCTCTCTCTCTCTCTCTTCATTTTTTACTCAATAAACAATCATCGTAACCGAGTAAGAAAAAAATGAGTCGAATGTAAAGTGACCATGACATTTCAATAACAGCAACAATAATACCTTGAGCCCTGACAACTAAAACTAACATCATTAACCTCTTTTCTTTTTTGTAAATGTTTTTTTACTATATTATTTTTTACTAATGAAAACTATTACATTCCACTTGTTTCAATGATGAAAATAAAAATATCCCAATATGCATGTAAGAAAAAAAAATAAAATTTTCTTTATACAATTTCTGATTACTTATTGATTTCTACAGATATTGGATGTTAGGTTAGTAACATATTTAGCAGAATATGTTGATTGTATAATGTACTGAATGGTTAAAATAATTGGCAAAATGAGTTATTTTTTCCGTTCGTTTTTCAGTAGTTCGGTAGTTTTTATGAGTCGTCAAAATTTTAAAACCTGACAAATGCAGAATTTCGTACTGCTACACTACATTAGTGCAGTTAGATTAAATTATCATGATAAGGCTTGGAGTAGATGAAATAGAAATTGTATAAACGGTAGTATAAAAGCCGAGTCACAAATAGTATGGTTTGGAAAGAAAGTACGACAAAATGAATTGTGAATGGATATGAGACGTCACCACATTAAACCAAAACAAATATTCTCCAACCACCTACATGACTCTGTTGACCCCATTGATTGATGCTAAGTGTTGGTTTTACTGTTCTTAGCTCTTCTTCGTCCCACACTAGCATACACTGCATGTCTAGCTAGGCAGTATTTGGACATACATTAACGTGTCCCGATCACAAATCGTTGAAGTTCTACTACTTTATCGACCGATTTTACCGTTACCTAATGATTTAGATCTAGCCACGGTGTTCCCTATTCTGTGGTTTCAACATTTGAGCATTTTTGATCAGATATTAGTAAACCCCGAATCCCCGCCATTTTTAAAAACCATATTTCACAGACACAGAGTGTATTGATACGCAGTATACTCATTGTTCGAGTGAAGGATTTCTTACTTACTTCAAGGTACCTAAAGTTCAATCGAGATTTCTAAATCTGTGCAGAGAATTCGTAGGACACCAATCCACAAAAGTTAATTAGCGATTGACCTATTAAACTATTACACTTCCCATCATTAGTTTACGTGTTGACGACGATCAGTCCCGATCTAAATTTTTCTATATAGAGGGGGTAGAACGCATCAAGAACATGCTTGGATGGTTCCTCAGAGATATCAGAAGAATGCATATTATCACAGTCTTTACAAAAACAACGTGAATTCATATGACGGAAATGTTACCATTGAAATGGTGGTTCCAGAAATAATGAAGATACTCCTATTACGTAATGTGACAAAAGTTCCTAAACAGATTGGAAAAGATGTTGAAATTATTGAGTTAAAAAAACATTTAATAAAATAGTTCTTTCCTGTTAATAAAGTAGTTGGAAGGTAGCCAATAACTCTATTTGGAAGCAGGTCAAGTTTCATTGCTGAGTGCGATCTTACTTTTTATTGGCCCTATATCTCCAATCTAATCGTATGACGATTGTTACTGAAATATACATTCTGTTAACTCTTGTATATAATTATCAATTTAAATCGCGTTAGTGTATAACGAAATTAAATAAGCCAAATACGAGAATGGAACTTGAATACGTATATTCCATACAATCATTCATCTGAACAGGCAATCAGAGAGACGGAGTGAAGGAATTAAAGCAAGGAAACGAAGTGACGTGCACTGGAGAAGACCAGTGAACCAACTCATTTTAATCATACGTGACTCGATATTTATAGTCAAACAAAAGTAAGACACGTAATGAATAGAACAATTAATTAACACACATAGGATAAAATGAAAACAGTCAGGGTTAATAAGCGAATAATTGACATGATCAAAATAGGGTTGAGAAGACTGAATAAACTGATCTGTCCAGAAGCTAGAATAGCCTCACAATTGATTGATCACTGGGTGGTGATCAATCTCATGCTTCAGGAGGTTAGTCACGGCTCGGATAGCTCAGTGGTAACGTCTCTGACTGTGAAGCTGGGTGACACGAGATCGAATCCGCCAGGGAGCACCAGCTCCCTCAAGATTACAGGTTCACCTTGCTGACGAGTGCCAAGTAGCACGAAACCCGGGTCCAGGGTTTCCTGTTGACTACATCCAACCACCAGCTAGAATAGCCTATCTGGCCAGCCACTACAACCGTCACGGAAATTAAATATACTGATGATTGGCATTTTTTGGATTTGTGACATCCAGCAAACGATGTACACTCAAACGTTGAATAATTCATTGAAGTGCTAGTGGTAGATGTTTTAGGAAACTTGAGATAATTAATAGTAAATACATGAATATTTTACTAAATTTTAGAGATTTGGGAAGCTTTTTATGCGCCTGACCATTGGACAACCAATCCAGGGCTTGATAACTACTTAATCACTATTATTTACTAGTGGATTAAGATAGTTCTTATTGAATGGAATGATAAATATCTTTCTCGAGTTGTTTTAAGTTTAATGACTTTGTGAACACTCGTGTATAAAATTTCTAGTATTGTGTAATATATAATCTTCTATCATAAACCGTGTTGAGTAAATTTAATTCATTCACATGTCTCAGTGTGTTCATCAATCGTAGTTTGTTATCATGTGGTGATATCAAATTTACAACATTATATTACATTGGTCTGGGTATTATTTTATTGAATTGGAAGTAACATACATCGTGACTGACGTATATTATTGATCATTAGTTAAATCCTATCATGTCCTTGATGAGTGTTCATGATCCTATCAAGTATATTTTCAGTTTCTTAATAAGAATGAAATTGTTTTGTAATTTTTTTCTGTTCCTCTGTTTTAATATTCAGTAAATTATTGTTACTGTCGAACATAATATTATCATTTTGTTACAGATATGTATGTTTGGGATCATACATATATGAGAATGAATTCACTGAAAAGTAAACTCTTCACTGAATCATCGATTTTCAATTAAATATCCTAAAGAAATCTTACTGACTATTAATGTATCGTATGTGATTTACTTATATAGGGTTTCCAGCCAATTCAAAAAAATTCCTTTGAATTACAACTATTCTCCATTCAATATAAATGTATACTATGGGATCATATTTAAAATATTTATAACCTTCCCATAAACATTCAACGATACAGTTTGTTTATAATTTGTCTGTATATTCTACTCTAAAATAACAGTGTATAATAACAATAAGGTATACTGACAATTTATTTGATCTCCTGTTTGTCTTAAGAAAGAATTGTCCTTCTACCCTTAATCATAACTATTCACATCTATTTACTTCATATATACACTAACAAATCAGATACACGTGTTCATATATATATACGAATAATACATGTTTGTTTACATCAATATTTGTATAACTAACCCACTAAAAATGCAAAGAAACTACATCGCTTCCTCTTAATATACATCAAACTAATTAAAATAGATCCTCATTTATTAAATAAATAAATAAACAAACAAACATTAAAAACAATACTATGTTGTTCCCATGGTTTGTGAAACATTTCTCTTTTTTTTCGATTTTATTTGCAACTATGATGTATTTTGTTCTGTTTGTTTAATTTATATTTATTTACAACAGGTAAATCAAAATAGACAGTTACAATTAATTATGGTTAAATTCAGCTTTAAGGAAAATTTTCATCATTATTATCAATTACTATTATCTATGTGAATAAATGACCGTTTAAGTTTGAAAGAAAAAAAAAAGAAGAACAAGAGATTCACCAGCTACTTATATCCGGTTGTAGACAATCAAATAAAATGTCAGTTAACATCTCAATGAAAAAAATAATAATTTTTTTTAATCAATACAAAGTGATAATTATTTAGACTGAATGAATATTGAATGAAATGTTTATATGTAGTTTTGTATAAGTATTAATATTATTACTATTACAGTATGTTGATTAAGTACATCTGTAGAATCGTTTTTTTCTCTTCTCTATCTTGTTTTACTATAGTTAATGTATTTCAAGTACATTTTAATACAATAAATTCTGTGTATATGTTTTAAATTATTGTAAAATATACAGGAAGTGATTATATATATATATTTAATGCCCACCGCTAACTCTGAATTAGAGGGAACTAGGAGATTGATGTTGCTTTTCATTAATTCATTTCCTGTTATACAAAAATTAAATGATGATTCAGTAAATGTTAATTAGATTAGTTATTTAGTTAAACTTGTTGGGAAGTGATATTTATAAATTAAATTGTATATAGTTTTCATTATAAAGTGATAATCGTAAGGAAATTATTGAATAATTCATCATTTGAAAGTTTTTACACTGTGTATCCATATAGTGAGAACTCAGTAGAGTTTAGAGTAATATATACATTGTGCAAACAAAGTGGTAACAATATAAGCATCACCTTTGATTCTATTTATTAAATAGTACATTGCACTCCTTTAGGCCTTTATTTTTGTGAAATAACTTTTGAGTTGCTACAGTGTACCAAACTAAGTGAAATCATACCTACAGTAAAAATTTAAGAATAAATGTACAGTGAGGTGGTTTCCATTTTCGAATTCCAACCAATTTGAAATATCAACTGTTCAGTAGAACAGTTT